CTTATTTTACAAGGCTTATGCCTTGTAAATGGATGCTTTGGGAGATTACGGCTCAGGCCGGGGAAATCATACTTTTCCATGTGTTATGTACTTTCTTCAGCCCTTGTAAATAATGCATGGTGAAACATGCTTTGGTAACCTCCTGTACACAGCCCATTTATACAATATTACACTGTTTATCTTGCGATCCTTGTAACACCACCTTTGGAACTTCAATATTCCATATTCAGACAACAAATTCGCAATGTACAGAATACAAGGCTGGTTTTACAAGGCTGTATTCACTAGTAATACTCTAGCCCCAATAGGAAGAAATATATTTTCACAAGCCTCAAAGCTGTTGTCACGCTGGATGTTATTTTGGTATCGGTTGCTCCTTCCCCATCTATCTACTGTTCCACTTCTTGCTACATTAGTTTTTTTTACCGTTCCGCTTCTCACTACATTAGCTTTTTTGATATTGGACATGTCAGACAGCACCAGCTTTCACGAGGAGTTATCCCAGCAGTCGAATTCCCCTGAAGACCCTGCCTTGGAGCCACCAATCAAAGGCCAGAAGATTTTCTTTGCCCCATCTGGTAATGAAAAAACCTTTATCGATCACGACTGCAAGCTTGACGGTGATGGATATCCGCTGTATCCCAATCGCAAGACAATCTTTGTCAAAACTCCCGATATGATTGTCCACAATTGGGGATTTGTTGGATTCCCCAAGACATCAAATGTGGAATGGCGAGCGGATCGAACCTGGAAAATGATCCGAATGTTTTGCCTTGGCGCTTTCATCTGTAACCAGCCCGGATGCCAGTGGGTAGGTTCTCCGCCAACCGCCAAGGATGCAATAGCTGAATACTTGCAAACGTAAGCCTTTTTCTTTTTATCTTGCTATATCATTTTCTTTCTTGCTTCTGGCTTGGTTTTTGTTCAGTGCTGACCAGTTCACCACCCCCTCACCCTATCAGGGATCCAAAATGCCCAGGTGCAGCCGGGAAATGTCCTGGGAAAGTCGGACATCTGGCATGCAAGAACACCATCACTCGGATCGATGAAAACACCATAACAAAATGGGGTATTCTCCGACACCATGGCACCCACAACCACCCATGGCCAGCCCCAAAGAAGCCGGACCCACTGGCCAAGCTCAAGCTCAAGAAGGAGATTATGAAAAACCCAACTGCTGGGGCTTTCAAGCTCAAGGTCATTTTTCATCTAAGCTGGCCGTGGATACCATCAATTCTGATCAATCTGTTTTTTATTGTGGATTTTCAGTTAGGCAAGCCAACAGCCCCTTTGAACCCATTTGAGAGTGTGACCCAGATCCACGAGGCCTTTGTGAACATGGATCGGTTGCGCTACCATCGTCGACTTGTCCTCACCGAACTCGGAGTCAACCCAGAGAAGGGAGGAGCTGGATTAGGAGATAAGTTCTTACATGATATGTTTCAATGGAACCAGTAAGTCTACCATCATTTTTATTCTATTGCGTGTTGCTAATGTAAACCTTGTAGCATGGGGCTTCTCATCATTTCATCATCTTTCAAACCAGGTATCGAACATTTCACTTTTCAAACAAAGTGGATGGGGGAACGATTGGTCACCCGTGATCACAACAACGAGGTTTACAGCGGGGGGCTCCTATCGGACGTGACCTACAGACTCTTTGAGACCGGCTATCTACTATCCACATCGATGTTCTGCGAAGAGACCGCCCGTTGGATACCAGTTCAGCTCTCCTGGATCCGAGGGCTTAGCGCGGAATACTACCAGGCCCATTTTGCTACACTCTTTGAGCAGTTTGATCGGCCCTCTTTCACAACAGCAGATCGCGAGACCCTCGTTCGCCAGGTTGTAGATTTCTCACTGGCTCAGAGGGAGGGGTTCATTGCGGCTTACATGAAGGTGTTTGGAGTCACCGATCGACAACAAGCCCTTTCAAAGTTGAAGGGCTGCCATGAGCATTTTCGTGCGCAGGTCACCCGTGTGAAACGCAATCGGGCGGTTGTCCCACCGGAGCAAGAAGTATGAGAGTCCTTTTATTCTTCATTTCTCTTATGTTTATGTTGCTCGATGCTGACCCATTGGTGCAGGCCCAATTTCAAAAACTGTGCCTGGATCTTTTGCAATTACCTGAGCCAGGAAAGCACACTCATGAGCAGAAGATTGACGAACTGCGAAGGCTCTTCCCAAAGACCAAACGATGGTTGGATTGGTGGACGATGGTTGACGTTGAGGCCATGCTATTTCCTTCAAAACGAGCAATGATAACCAACTCGGAAAACAGCACAGACAACCTTCCTGATACAACCAATGCTCAAGAGAGCATGCACAGGCTATATTACATGATAAGGTTAGTCTTTCTCCCATCTTGATTTGTGTTTAAGTGGCTGTTGACTGACAATTTGGGCCTCAAAGTGACGGGAAAAAATGTTTGATGATTGGGATGGCTGAGCTTTTCGCTTTTGTCAAGGCACTAGAGGACGACTGGCATGCAGTCATGAGGGGAGTCTCGATTGAGTACGGCTCCAAGAACAAGACTCAACACGACCTTGCAATCTCAATTGGCTGGCAGAAGCCACCAAAGAGGAACCCAGCTAACCGCAAGAAAGCCGATCAGAACGATGGACGAGCTCCTGACACAACCGCGACATTGCTTCCTAAGAATGTGGGTGGTCGGCCGAGGAACTCTCCAAACCTAAACAAGGATCCGTTCTCAACGTACATCTCTTACTCGGCATCCCAAGATTCGGCCAAGAAAAACCGCTGCTGGATGGCTGCAGCACTTGAAAGCCTATACGCACTGTTCAATCCACTCTGGCTTCGTGGGACCAACGGGCTCAAAGCAGACATCTTCACCACCCTGATCAAGCATTTCAACTCACGAACGACCTGGGAATTGACTCAATCGGGACACATCCGGACCTTCTTGTCAATCGGGCAGAACTCCTTGCAAACCGCGGCAAACAAATTATCCCCTGGTAGTTTTAACCCAGGGGTCTTTTGTTCATGTGATCTGTTCATTGATTTGCTCATTGATCCAACATTCAGGAAACAATCAAAATCAATGTACCCACCTCGAGAGCTATTTACTGTTACCGAGGTCCGCACAGCAACCTGTCAAGATCGTCCGTCGTTTGATCAGCCCCATCCTCGTGGGATCCGGGACATAACACTCTTGCGTATTCAGAAAGAAACTTTTAACGCTGCAAATATCGAACCCTCTTCAATTCAAGCAATAATTTCGAGATGGACGACTGACGGCATTGTCACAGTTTCAGGTTTATGCTGCCAGGCCTGCCCTTCAACTCAGAAGACTGACAAGCGTCACCACCTCATTGAAAAGTCGGTCTTAACGATCGAGAACGAACCCCCCCAGCACTTGTACTTGTTGGTGCAAGTATCGACGATCATTGATCAAATGGCTCAGCAAACCTTCATGGCCGGACTGGATTTCCCCTTCAAGTTGGATTTCCATGGGGTTTCTTACACTCTCTTTTCTCGCGGGTTCTGGAACGGGGTCCATTATTGGGCAAAGATGCTCAAGAACGTTGGCGGCATCTCAGGGGTATGGATGCACGACGATCGAGAGAATGGAGGGATTGCTCGGCTGATCAGTTCAGACCATAGCACTATCGCTGGACAGGCCCGGCACACAAGCTGGGTGTTTTACTCGCGAGCTTGGATTCCAAGTGAGGAGGCATTTGTGGTTGAAAGCATTGCGAGGATCTCTCGGGACAACGATGGAGCTCAAGGTTTGATGCCGTTTGTCCATCTGGGCATGCTCCTCAACATCTCACCAATCAAACTGGGTCCGAGCGATGAAAATTTACATACGTTGGCTTCAGTTGATACACAAGTACCTCAGCTTAAAAGAATGGACTCGGATGTTGCAGAGCTTGCCTCTGCTCCAATGATTTTTGACTCTTCAGCGGCTCAAACACAAACCTTAGCGAGCACAACTACTCAAACCCAACCGTTGGCTAGCACTACATCGGGAGGAGACCAACTTGGCGATCGTAAGAAAAAAGCTTCCGGAGAGTTTAAGATCCGATTGAAATTCATGAAGACTACCGACCCGCAACTGATGAGTGGCAATGCTCCAAAGATTGAAGAGCAGGACAAGGCAACTAAAGTTGAGGATCAAGCGTCACAGATTGGGAGGAAGACGAACGAGAAGAATGTTGGGCCAGCAAAAAAATTGAACGGCCCAAAAACTAAAACGATCAAGCCCAAACGGGCGGGCACTCGAGCAAGTACCCGCAAAGCTCAGCAGGATTGATTTGTTAGCCTGTCGTCCCCCTGGCGAACACGTGTCACGATTGGCAATCAGGATGTTCCTTTTTTTCTCGGCTCTTGTGTTTCCTTTGTAAATAGTCCAATCCCTTGTGAAATTCTCATATACCACATGCTTTTGTGAATTTTACATTGCTCATCCTTGTGAAATCGGAACCCTTGTGATGGAAGCCTTGGAAAATTCAACTTTTAAAGTCTTAGACGCCCTTCTGCGACGCTTCGCTTTTGCAAGGCATATGATTGTAAAATCTTCGTTTGTGAAACTACGTTTCCTCTCGCTAGGTGGGAAAAATACACAGAATCTTTTACAATGTTTTTTTTCCAAAGTAGACCGAAATCACCGGTCCCATGGAAAATTAAGAATAGCTTATGGCTCAAGACATTTTGCCAAGGCATCCATTTTACAAGGCATAAGCCTTGTAAAATAAGGGTTGTAAAAATCAACCCCCCCTCACATTAGTCCTACAGAGTGGCTCACAGTGGTCCCATGTTGGCCATCCAAGCCATTTCTGAAGCACTTTGACCTGCTCATGCCAGATGGGGATTTTGGATTGTGCAAGAGATTCAAGAGTAGAGTTGAAAGAGAATGATGGCTCAAGGGGGAGAGACAACTGGATGGTTTGTGAAAATAGTGAGTAAATCGTTTGACAGATCCTCCCCAATGTACCTTCAATGGCCTGGATAATGATATGGATAGAGTGGTTTAACTCAGGTAGCTGTTGCCTAGCAGAGGTGTAAGTGGATGTGCATCTGCGGATCCCACGGGACAGCCAGTCCAAATCTTGGTGGTCCCACTCCGAGAAATCCAGCGAGGGCATGATAATGTCGTAGGCCAATCCACGCACCTCGATTGCCTTCTTGGTTGCACTGAGGTCAGCCCTGTTGAGGAGGTATCGTAGCTCGCGGATCGGTGGGCTGAACCTCTCAACAATTATCAAGACCAAGGAGCGCCAATCCGATTGACCAGGGTCCATCCGCCAATCTTCGAAGTTCTTCCGCTCAAGTACCTCAACCAGCCGCCTTCGGACTGTCTTCGCATCCTCACTACTGATCCCATACAAGCGATGTCTTGAGCGTGGCCCTGAACTTGTCCCATCTGCTTGTCGCTTGAATTCTAAACTTTTAAGTCCATCATAAAAACTTATAAACCCCGCAGGATCTAAGATCACTCGTACCTCCCCAGGAGGAAAAAAGTGTCGGGCGCCCGAGGAGGAAAAGCTCCAAGAAGCCCTTGAATAAAAAGGCGATTGAGGAACTGGTCGCTTGTCTGGAAGATCAGAGTTTGAATTGACTTGGCTGATGCTTTTGAAAGGTGGTATCTTGGCTGAGTACGGGTCGGTAGCATTAACCATATCAAGAAGGCTACAGGAAGGTGAAATTGAAAGTCATAAGTTAATCAACCCAAAACAATGTTACTAATGATTACTAAAGTGAGAAGAAGGAAGCTTAACTGTATGCCCTTTTTAAAGTCGCACCATATCAGTTCAAAACCGGTGTTCATCCTGACGACGCCTTCGAAGCCGTATTTATCACCGATCTTGCAGAGTTCAGTAGCGCGGGCATACTCCGCTTCGAGGTAACGGCCCTTATCGGGGAAGTCCTTGGGGACAGAAGCGTTGATGAGAGCGTACTGAGCGTCCATGAAGCCGGGCGTGCCAAGAGAAGCGCTTTGGCCATCGAGGTATATCACCCGGAGGGCGCGGTCGGCGACAAATGTGTAGAGGTCCAATTGACCAGGCCTGTGGCTGCCAATCGAATAGCTCATCTCAGGATCAAAGGCCAGCCATTCGAGCCCCTCCGTTGGCGGCCCGCTTGGATCGTGCCTGCTGTGGTATAGTAAAGTCGAGCGCGGGATCAGGCCGGGGATGATTGAGTGGCCGCTGTAGGCAAACGTGTTCGGCCATTGCTGGAGTAGTCCGGCGAAGGACGCAAAGATCAGGTTTGAATTATCCACTGGACTTGGCTTGTCCGGGGACGATATGATCAGCTGCTCTGGCGCGGAGCAACTTGTTCTAGTGATCAGGTTTGAGACCAGCCAGAAAGGCGATAAAGAACTCAATGGCCCGACTCGAATCTTCATCGGTGTTGTTAAGCAGATGTTGGGTGTGAAATCTTCAAAAAGTCGAGAAGAACAACATATCAGCCAATGGACGCCAAGGGGGAAGGAAATGCCTCGACGTACCGAAATGGGTGATGTGTTTTTATATGAAAGTTAGCGAGCCTTTGCTAGGGCTCTCAGGCTGGATCAGCAGGCCAGAGCACGTTAGCGATGAGAGAGTTGACTCATTGTATGATTGTTTATGAATACTATTTGAAATTATTATTCAATCTCCAGAGATCCCCAGGCTGCCGGATGATGTCAAGCAACCCGACGGTTGCCTTCCGTTCCCTCTTGACGGTGAAGTCATGAAGGCACCTGGGAGTCCTCCAGGTTAGTGTTAGAACATGACAAATCAATCAGAGCCAAGATCGTCAGGATGGACTGCGATACAACTTAGGTTCATGAAGATACCGTCGTTTATGCTTTCCTCCAGGCTCCAACTGACAAACCTCTAGGCTCTGAGTGGAGTTCTTGGTTGGATTTCACTTAATGACCCTGTTTTGAAATTGTAGAGACTGTTGACACCCTCAAAGCACATACATGCATTGTGCTCTAGCCAATTATATTTCTTGAGACGATGGACTGAGTAATTTGACGCAACTGGCTGTTTATGACAACGGACAAACTTGAATCCTTGTGATAATATTGAAACTAGCTAGCAGAACCAATTGGTCATCGGGTCACACACATCAGGAACTGGAGGGTACTGGAGGGTGGCTGATTGGCCGAATGGTATTCACAGGTGAGATTTGATGGTCGACAGCGAGTTAAAGAAATCTCCAGGAATCCTCCAGCCCTTTCAGCTTGGAATTTCTTGGAGAGGTGATGTCAATATTTGTAGTAAGAGTAGGCAATTGACCGGGATAAAATATGTATTATCACTACGCATTGTGACATGAAAGCTTGGTTTTTCTGAAGGGGGGGGGGGGCAAGTCTCTTGGGCGTTGTATCAAGCCCAGGACCAATAACCTTTCATAGTCGCGCAGTGAGTACGCAGAATAATCAAAGCAATCAAAGGACGAGGGACAAATCATCGTGAGCGTGAGTTTTTAGGGTTTCGCATTGTCGTTATTAGGACCAGTTCCTGCTGCTCCCCCGCCGAGTCCACCCATCAAGCTGGAGGCCAATTCTCGTGCGGCAGGGTCGTTCATAAGCTGAAGCATCAACACAAATGGATCGTTAGGTAATCATTCAGGGTGAGACGGCCATTATAAGGTCGACTTACTTGAGAGATATCCGGCATCCCCCCACCACCTGCGCCACCTAAGCTGTTCATCATCTGCTGAACCATGGGGTTTTGCATCATTCGCTCCATGCCACCGTTGGCCATCAGGCTCTGAGCCCTGTTAGCACACAAAAAAAAAGTCAAGTAGCGCTCGGTGAACGAAGATCAATCAGTTGAACTTACATCTGAGCCATCATGGGATTGTTCATCAAGCTTGCGAGGTCAGGCATGCCACCGGGACCACCCATACCGGGCATAGCACCACGTGAAGAGTTCGAAGAACCGGGCGGGTTGCTGGTCGTATTTAGTGAGGATGAGCTTTTGGCTTTAGACTTGGCTGTTGCTAATGAATTCCGAATGGTAGTGTTCTAGGAATGGAAAATCATCAGTACGAGCTTTTCGGTTGACGGGAGAGAACTGTCTTACGTCTGGTTCTAATTCTAGACCTTTTTCGTACGCTTCGACGGCCTTTTCGTATTGACACGAGCTAAAGTAACCATGGCCCAGTCGGGAGTAAGCCTTAGCGAAGGTAGGGTCGACTTCTAATGCTTTCAATGCATCTTCGATGGCCTCATCGTGGGCACCCAATTGACTTTGAGCGGCAGCCCTGTTCGAATAGTAAACAGGATTGGTTGGATCGAGTTGAATAGCCTCGGTGTATTTCGCGATCGCAGCCGAGAAGTCACGCTGCGAGACCAACTGGTTACCCGCTGCCTTGAGTGACTCAGCCTCTTGAGATTTATTGGTTTGGGAGGTGCTTTGAGTAGGCTGAGATGTAGATTCGGCCGAGGTGCTTGCCTGAAGGCATGAACAGACGGAGGTAATCGATAAGAATTTAACAGGATCGATCTAGGGGTCAGGATTTTGGTTGAAGGCATTGAGATACGAACCACTTTTTTTTGAGTTTTGAGGAAGACCTCAAAGATGCTCAACAAACTACTAGGTTTGACCGACAGGGCGCTATTAGGGGAATCGGAAGACCATTCGACAGAAAAAGATTCAGAGATGCATTGCATTGCAACCTAAGAACATCATAAGCGTCAGTTGGAGCCGATCAAATTTTTTCCGTCTTGGCGAGATAAGAATTGGGATTTGAATTCAATACATACCTCCATGGACTCTTGATCATCGCTGCGAACGGTGCCATCCTTGATGGAATCGTTCAAAAATTCCAGGATGGCATAGACGAGCTTCTGTTTGGGTTCGAGTGCTGACATATCTTAGTGGTTTTCCTGGATGGGTAGCTTCTTGATTTGATTGGTATGTGTTGTGGTTGATTTGTGTATCATCAGCATAAAAGACTTGCTATGTATCAGGCTCGATGGCCCCCCCAAGACCGAGCTGTCACAGCTGACACACACGTATCCATCCATCCATGTCACGTCCTGGGCAGACATTTCACTCGTAGAACCAGTAGATTTCACAGGGGCTGCCTGTGATTAGGAGCCGACCTTCTTCTCTGTGGGCCCTGGCCTCGCCCCTGTCACAGAGACGGAGACTGTGCGGGGCTCCCCCGTGGGGAGATGTCGAGAGGCCTACGTTCATACAGTACGCTGGAAAGAGAAATCCAATTAAATATCCAACATAAACCCTTAAATCGATTGATCGAGGACGAGGACCGTTCCTCCAGTTGAGTGGTATTCCTCTGCCGTACGTAGCCCGGTTCAATCTGATCCGTCTGAATACCTTCGCCGATTCCAGTCACGAAGAAATTCCAATGAGCTCCAAGCGGACGTTCGAAGACTTGAGTGAGGAGAGCAGCGGTGAGCGCGTCGATGATGAGTCTGCCAATGGCCCGGTTGCCAAGCGTTTGAGGAGCCGTAATAGACCCGTGGAGACTCACAAGCCCAAGTCGACTGCTCGCATCAAGCCGAAAAAGCCGAAAAAGCCTCCTCTCAATTCCGAATCGCAGGCCAAACAAGACGCGTTTCAATCGCTATACCAAACCTCTATCGATTCTTTTCGAGCGCGTCAACGACGTTATCTCATTACCCATCGCGACCTGTTCATATCACTCTTACCGCCAGACAGGCACAGACACTTCGAAAAGCACATCCAAGACCGAGCTCCTTACGATGATATCCCAACCGATCCAAAGTCTACTCCTAATCAGGTCTCACCCTGGAAGCGCGTACCTCAGCCCAAGTCGATCAAGGGCGAGTTGAAATCCTATCAAATCACCGGCCTCAGCTTCTTGGTCTATCTCCACTCAAACGGAATGAACGGCATCTTGGGAGATGAGATGGGACTTGGGAAGACTCTACAGACACTCGCCTTGTTGGTTCATCTGAAGGAAGGAACTACTCTCGGGGGCTCTCAACTTCCACACCTAATTATCTGTCCCTTGTCGGTCCTCTCATCTTGGGGCAATGAAATCAAGAGGTGGACCAATCTATCGTTTATCAACTTCCACGGTACTCATGCTCGCAGGAAGAGTATCATGACCAGTCTCATCGGACTTGGGGTCAAAGCCCCTGGCAAAGGCTCGCCAGATTTGGTAGTTGCTTCCTATGAATCTTATCAAGCCGAGGAATCCTGGTTCAAACATCGCGCATGGGGTTACGTGATTTTGGACGAAGGACATCGGATCAAAAATCATGAAACTTTAATGTCCCAATCCTTACAGACTATCAGATCGACCCACCGCTTGATCTTGACTGGAACCCCGGTACAGAACAACTTGATCGAATTATGGTGCTTGTTCCATTGGCTCTTACCCGAAGTCTTCCCGGAACACACCCGTGAACGGTTCAAGAGGGCTTTCGACTTAACCGCGGGAACTTACGACTCTGAAATGTTAAAATCAAGTCACCAGCTGTTGAAACTACTTATGCTCAGGCGTACCAAAGATAGCGTCCAAGGCGAATTATCCGTTCCGCCCCGAGAAGAGATTGATTGTAAGTGTACCTCTTCCCCCTCGGTCATCTTAATATGAGGTTTACTGACCGATCATTTTGGCCAGTATTCATTCCTATGTCCAGTTGTCAGCGATTCTGGACCAAACGATTAATAATGCGCTGTGATAATAGCGCGTTACGGTAAGCTTTTACAACAATCATCCATATCTTCAATGTGATACTGAGTGCCATATAAAAAAAAACAGTGATATTTTTAACGGTCCCTCGATTAAAACCGAAAATACAGAAATTCTCACTGAGACGGCCGACCCGCCTTTGAAAGCAGAAGAAAGTCTCGCCCCAGCGCCCAACCTCTCACCTGCTCAACCGGTCACTAAGCTCTCTCAACAAATCCGGTATGCCCTGGAAGCCGAGGAAGGAAGTACGAACTCTCAATCTTATAAGAAACTGTTGAATCTCCTGATGCAACTGAGGAAAGTCTGTAATCAGTGAGTTTTTCCTTTTTTTTTTTCTCCATCTTTTTTACAGTTCTTGGTTTTCCAAGCTTCCAAACACTGATTCTCTTACAATCCGGTTAACAGTCCATATCTGATGCCCAATTCTGAACCTGAACCCTTCCTCATTGCTGAGCACATCGTCAATGTGTCTTCGAAGTTGGTCATGCTGGACAAGATCCTGAAATCTGAATTACCCAAGGGGAAACGGTTATTGATATTCTCATCTTTCACATCCATGCTTGATATTCTTGAAGACTTTCTAAACTTGAGGCAGATTGATTACCTCAGATTGGATGGATCAACTCCTGTAGCCAGGCGTAACTTGGCAATTCGAATCTTCCAACAAACCAAAACAATGGATACGCTCAAATCGCATGGCTCTTCATCCCAACGAATCGTTCCCATCTTCTTAATATCTACCAAAGCAGGTGGCTTGGGCATTAATCTCACTGCAGCCGACACAGTTGTTCTCTACGACTCTTCTTGGAATCCTCAGGTAGATATTCAAGCAATAGCTCGAGCTCATCGAATCGGTCAGACCCAGAATGTGACCGTTTACCGTTTGATCTGTGCGGAATCAGTCGAGCATCAAATGATCGGCCGTTTACGTAAAAAACTCTATCTTTCGTTGAAGATCTTGGACTCTCACCCTACAACCAAGGGGACCGGCCCGGGTGACTTGTTGGGAAATACTGATGAATCAGTTGATGAGGAAACCACCATGAAGACTTCCATGTCAGCTGCTGATCTCTGTGCAATCCTTCGCGGCGGTGCCAGCTCCCTACACAAGCACTGGGGACAGGCCAATGATTCAAACACGCTAGCTGATGATGACGAGCGCTCTGGATACAACGAATTCTTGAATGCCTCCTTCGACGAAATCTTGAACCGAGCCAAGGAATTTGCAAAGAAGGAGCAAACGAAGCTTAAAATCGAAGTAGGCCATCAAGACCGATCGAATTCGGACGCAGAAATCGTTAAAAAGATTGAAGAAGAAGAGCTAGCCCTCTTAAGGGGTGCTGAAGTAGTTCGCTGTAGGCTGTTCGAAGGCAAGAAGTACACCGCCAGTAATAAGGATATACTCAACGAATGGGACAACCTTCAACCCAAACGAGTCTCGAAAGCGACCACTACTATCATTGATGGACACGCGGTCCAATCCAAGTCGGTGAGCAACGCACGCTGGGAAGCGGTCAAGACGCTCACGAGTGATCCAGTCCTACTCGCCAAACTGCAAGATTCCAAACGAAAAAAGAAAGTGTTCGAACACGAGGAAACTTGCATGTGTTGTCATGATACCGGTGAGCTGTATATGTGCTCACATTGCCCCCGAGTTGTCCATTTCAAGTGCATGGGATCCACGTCGCCTCCGAACATGTCCTTCACATGCAGTCAACATAGATGTGTGGTATGCCAGCGAGCCGGGCCCGAAGCAGGTGGTATGCTATATCGTTGTCAGACTTGTCCGGATGCGTATTGTGAAGAATGTCTCCCTCACGAGAACTTTTATTCGATGGGCGATACCCTCCCGGAATTTCTGTTGCTCGGTTACGGGCCGATGTCCCAGGCTCACTACATCCGATGCGTAGAATGTCTTAAACATTTTGAATCGAATCCGGAGACCAAGGCGATGTGGGAGGCCGAAGAAAAACACATCAAGGAACAGCTAGCTTTGAAAAATGAACACCAACTGATCAACATGGTCAATACTTCTTAATTCTCCTCACTTTTTATTTTATTTTTCATTACATGTCCTTTTGTGTGTGTAGAATAGAAAATGATTGCTGGCTATCGTAGCGATTGATTTATTACTTGGAGCTGCTGAATATCTAACATTCACCTCTCGGTACGCTTTGTTTGTCTCTAATTGGATGTGCTGATCTAATACTGTAGGAACTCCATCTCTTGTTGTCTCGCAACACTAATCAGCAGTATTTTGGCTCTCATCTTGCCTAGATAGTAAGAGAAAATTCAATGTGATCCCCTAGAACTTTCAACACACTCTGAGAGACTTGTTCGTGCCCCAGTTTCCTCAATTCACAGACCCCAAAAAAAGTCCGGATGACTGATGAAGGTCTGACTGGGCGCTGTCACCCAGACTTGTCATCTTTTTTTTTAAAAAAGTCTCAGTTATTTTGCCAAAAAAGGGAACATTTAAAAGGGAACATTTTTTAAAAAGTCTCGGTTATTTTGCCAAAAAAAGGGAACACCGCGCATTCCAAGAAAGCGGTTTGAACCGTCAAAGACCAAAAATTGTGTTGGCATTGTATTATAGACGGTATCACAAGTATTTATGGCTACAGCGAAATCTAGCGGCTCGCTGATAATTCAGGTAGGAAAATTTAATCAGAGCAAACCCTGTAGGAGGGTATCTATAGTAACGTCCAATAATTAGAGCAGGAATAAAGCCAAGATAGTGTCCAATATTAGTTTTAGTAGAAGTAGATGGTTTAGGCTTGACCGGCAATTTCTACAAATGCCCGATAACAGACAAAGCTAGACTGTTGGGCAGATATCTGAACCGGCATTCCAGCAGCAATAAAATAAACCTGTCCTTCGTGCTTGGATGAGATTTCTTGACCTTCAATTGCAATAGTGCCGGATCCTTGAGTGACGATCAAAATACTCGGGCCATTGATGGGCGGATGTTGATCTTGTTCGCCTGGCGATAGTTTGGTCAACAAGACCGAAAATTCCTCGATCGGTGGGTCGTACAATGTAGAGTGTTTGCAAGACTTGAAAAGGTTTGGCTTCATTAATTGAGACGCAGAGGGTCCGTATGAATATGTCAACATTTCAGTCAAAGTCGGTACATCTCGTAATTTGGGTGTCAAACCAGCTCTGACAACGTTGTCGGAGGATGCCATGCACTCGACGATATCTGTGTATTCACATGGGAAAAACGAAATGCTCAATTACGAAGGCAAGTTGGGTAAATTGAGATTAGTAAGGTGAAGGAAAAGATTTGTCTAGCCAACCTCCGGTGAGATAAGCATGAGGTTCGTCGGCTTGAAGAAAGGCAGCTTGGCCGGGTTCGAGCCGGACGACGTTGAGGACAAAGGTGCAAAAGATACCGACATCATCCGGAAACTGGTCGTTCAAGCGTAAGAGCAATTCTTCATCCGTTCCAAAGGGTTTATCCCGACCGCCTTCAGCCTCGATCCTCTTGATTAATTTTCGAACTTGTTCGGTTACCAACTCAGATGATGCGTTCATCAACTTTCCAAAGAGCTCTTTCAGTACAGCTTGATAGTTTTTTACGTCGGTTTGATCGGTAGACGTGGAACTAATGATCGAAGGCATGGATGCATCAGATGGGATGGCCTCTAAGAACCGGCTGCTAGTTTCCTGGCCGATCACGGTGGCAAACTCGGGCACCTTCTCGAGGTATTGAGATATTTGGTTGAGGGGCCTGAAGCCACAAAAGCCAGAAAACGGGGTGATTGCGATGGCCATTTCGGGCTGACAGGTTGAAAGACATGGTCAGCTTGGTAGAGGATGAGTAGAATAGGATCCAAGGAGGGGTACCATACTTTGTGATTGTCATCCTTATAGACATCGGGACGTTCCTTGTGCAGCTTGATAGCCAATTGACGATCGGGATGCGCCTGGATGGATAGGGCCTTGCCGATCGCTAGGACCTTGAAGAGGAAGGGTAGATGGCTTCCGTATTGGTTCGAGATTTGTTTGCCGAGCAATTGGGCCGGGTCACTGGCAAGATGATCAGAGAGCAATTTGCCATCGATCAATTTGGAGGGTAGGGAGGAATGTGTTCCCATCCAAAGCTGTTTTTTTTAAGAGATGCGCTGGGTCAGATGAATTCTCGAGCTTTCAAGTCGATATAGACTATCCAGATCCCAACTCACCTCGGCATACGGTTTTTCTGGGTCGTAATGGAAGTTTGGTAGGTGCTTGGAGTACTCGGCCACCTTGCTACCATCTTTCCCCAGTTTGCCCCAATCGTACTGATGACGCCCAAGATCAGTTTACTGACATTAAACTCATGAGCAGAAGTTGATTACTCGTCTCTGAGACTCACAGATTGGACCTGAGGGATGAGCTCGACTATTGGGGATGGGCTTGACATTGAGAGTATTGCAGTCGGTGGTACAATCTTGCCGAGTTGGTGGATGTCTGGTTTCCCCACTATGTATGTACTGCTGCTGCTGCTGTGTCTTGCTGTGTAGACTCAGCTTAACTTATCAGCTGTGAGCCTATGATGACGTCATCACCTGCACTGCATACATATTTTCTCCGCCGCTGCATACATGGATTTGCTTACATAATACTTGAGACCATGTCCTCATCCAAGCTCGATCTTCTCGAGCAGCAGGCCATCAACCCTGCCAATTATGGACTCATCCATCTCGTGAGTACACACATATTGCTCTGCAAGAAGAACGCACTGGCTGATCTTGACTTTGACTCTGGTTTGGCTCCCTCCCTGATTTTCCCCCAATCTGCTCGTCCACCGCTGAATTCGATACATCATTAACACCTGCATCCAATCTCCATCGGCGCATGTGGCTATCTAGTATGATCCAGATAACAGATTGACTGCATTCGAGTCGGGCGACTTGGAAGCTCGTTCCACTGTCATCTTCATCGGCGGTCTTGGTGAGCACCAACTTCTGCCAGTCTTCTGGCTGACTATCTTAAAATTAATACACCATACCCATACTCACGTATTTATGAAAAATCGTTTTTAGGTGATGGGCTATGTGCTGTTCCATACATAGACTTACTCGCTCCAGCACTCGAAGAAGTCAATTTCTCCCTCATCCAGGTCTTACTCTCGTCTTCCTACGCTGGATTCGGATTCGGTAGCATCGAGAAAGATGCTCAAGAGATACAAAAATTACTCAACTATCTCAGAACTATCGGCAAATCTCAATTCGTATTGCTTGGACATTCAACTGGTTAGCAGAAATCTCTAATTCTCTGTCTTATTGATTATCATCTCTTGATATAATGTATCATCTCGCCTTGTTAACAAATCATCTGCGTGGAATCAAGGTTGTCAGGATATCATCAAGCTTTTCAACGCCCAAAATGGCTCAGCCAACTCTAACTCGTTGGACGGAATCATGGCCATCATCCTCCAAGCCCCCGTCAGCGATCGTGAATACATATTAGACACTTTGGGAGAGGAAACATACCAGAGATCCTTACAAGAAGCTCAGAAGGTCCGTCGATCTTGATCGATCTCTTGTACTCTATCGATCTCTCTTTAAGCTCCTGATCATTTGTTTTGACTCAATCTGACACAGCTTGTCGACGCCGGCCAAGTCAACGCAGCGATTCCCTGTGAGTTTTCGGACATGTTTTCGGGTGGACGATGTGCGATCTCAGCTTCAAGGTGGCTCAGTCTGGCCAGATCATTGCAAGATTATCCAACAGGCGAAGACTTCTTTTCCTCTGACCTTCCCCTAGAACTCCTCGCGACTCACTTAGCACCGGTGGCCCAGAATGGGGTGGCAGCAATGGTCTTGATTAGCGGTAGAGATGAGACGATGCCCGGCACGGTTGACAAAGAACGTTTACTTCAACGTTTGGTCGACGCTCTCACTTCCTCATCCAATCCTGATCACGAACATTTAAAACCGATTGCTGAGAGCTGGAGTGCCATCTTATCTGGTGCAGGCCATCAAGCTGAAGAGGTTAAACAAGACATTTGCACTCGAATAGTTGATTTCATTGGTGGCGCTTTAGCATGTTTAGAACTGTAATCATCATGTCTCTCTCTCCCTCTAGATTCAATTCCAACGGGTCGTAGAACTGAAACACCACGCAGGCAAAAATTGTTTCCTCTTATCCTTTCAGCATACTCTATCTGTTTCCATGATCGAGATTCTAAACGCCGCACTTTGGTGAAATCTTTGACTGATTTTGGACAACTTGTTTAAGTGCCCACTGAGATCCTCAAAGGAGTGCAATTAAAAGTTCACGTATTCAACGTGAGCTGTATCTGGCGAGTTGAACACCAAAACTGAAAATCAACTTTAAGGCATCCAGCATTAGAAGTTAGTGCGTTGGAGCTAGTAATAATTCGTTTTTCTCCCTCAGCGCCCTAATAAAGTTGCCTGGGGAAAGCGCTCCGCGCAGAAGATGGCTAAGCTGCCAGGGGGAATCTCCAGTCGCCACATGACCCACATGGTTCTTACATTCCTTGCCAAAGTACATTTTTCGTTTCACAGACAACAGTTACGTTCGAACTTCGCATAGCTTGGTGTGCCCGTTCAGTTGTTCGTGCTTTGGAGCATTAACTGCTTGGGTTCTTGATACAATATCAGCTCGTCTTGAATCTGTTGCAAGAGCCTTCCATTTCTTCACAGTCCAGTTCTAGAAACCCTCAACGACACAAACCCGATTGGACCACGTATCTCACAGGTGTGACAACTGCGAATACTCCAGTTCAGCTGAAGCGTACAGTACAGCCTCCTGGCCATTTCCAGCCAACAGCCTTTTCGGCCCTGTTGCATGCGCGGCCGGCTGTTGATCTACCATGAAGATGTGAGAGAAGACTCACCTCGTATGGCGGACGCCTGCGGATGTCTAGTCAAAGTGACAGACATATCGTATCGAAAAATTTGCATCGCCATCACGTTCTGTCAACTGTAGCGATGTCTTAATTATGAGCTCTCTCTTGACGCGCGATGGAGATGGAAGTGCTGGTCAAACTTCAGACTTCACAACTGCCCCATTCCATCGTGGCAGGATCCATAACAAGTATAAGTTCTACTGCACATGGCCAAGGCTAGTCTTTGACATACTCTCTGCAACTTCCAAAACTGATACATATATTGAACTCCTCATGAATTCTTCAATCTTTCTGACAGCTCTCATCCTACTACCCAGTCTCGTTTATTCAGGTTACCCGGCAAACATTGAAACCCCTACTGTTGAACAGTGCTATTTTTACACGGGCGCCAACAGTCGTTTCACCAGTAAGTCACTCAATGGCGGATAACACGATATTGACCGGAATCAATTTTTGAACAAACCGATTATGATTTATCTAAATCTGCACTGAAACTCACCTCACACCTAGCCTGCAGCGGAAGGTCCGAGTTCAAATGCACCGGGGGATGCGCTTACTTCGTCAGTAAGTAGAAGCTATCACCGTCACTTAAATATGTGTTGTGTATCATTATTATAGATGACCTCAACCGGGTTCACTTGAACTGATCATTAACTCGGCTGTCACCTAAAGAGGCTCAAGGATGCCAACCAAAAGACTCCGATGGATCTAATTCAAGTGCGCCTACAACTCAAACTTGTGATGTTGAATTTAGCATGATCACGCCTTACGTAAAATGTAAGTCTTTTCGACTGGATCTACATCAAAGCACAATTGATCTTTCTATGATGATGGAGCTAATGTTACTGGGAACAAAATTGGAACAAAATCCATGCATTGGCAAAAGCATGCGTGACGAGTGCTGGAGTGACGTTTTCGTGTAGTGGAGACACGTCAGGAATTGCGAGTATGTATCTTTCTTCATAGATTCACAGTCGCCAGCTTGCTGCCTCTTAAGTTCGTCAATAAAGGCGGTCATGTTATTATAGTAAAAAATTGACGCATATGTATAACTTGCCCGTTCGATAAATTTGGTCAAACGTCCAGCCTGCTCTCAGTGTCTCAAAGCCCGCGAGCCTAATGCCGCTTCACCTTTGACCCTAAGAGGCACCAGACCTCGACCCATTTGATTCCGAAGCACAGTTCGACTCTTCCTTAATTCTATACTTGACAATCTTTTCCATCGGGACTTTTTCGGTTTCAGGCTGGATGCTTTCTGCTCAATCAACTGGGTTTTCTATAACTGGCTTCAACCGCAATGTGCGTAGTTTGGAGAGTGTCGCATGCGACAATCGAGCTCAGAGGATGCTTCGTTCGAGTTCTCATCCACCAGATAACCACTTTCTCACTTCCTCTATTCGCCTCTTGTGATTTCGGCATTTGTGCGCACATGCTCACTGACACTTCATCCGCATCAACGCACGTTCCATTCATAATTTTGTCCAATATGTTTTCTGTTCCAAAACCGTGTAAACAGACATTTTTCTTTTTGTTGAGTAATTTCCGACCACAGATACGCATCCACATTTTCTATTCACTGAGGCGTGAGACATTATCAGAAGTAATGGAGGAAGTTGCATTCTATTCCAGCCGAAAAAGTAACACCAAAGGGCAGATCATTTTGTGAAATAGAATTGTTTGATTTGTGTCATCATAATCTGGCACATCCCATATCTGGGGACTGACACTGATGAATCCACCATTATTGGCAATAATGCTGAGTATTTGAAAATAGCAAGATTAATTTTTGGTTTCAATTTTGAAGGACTGCAGATTTATATGGGTTTTTTGAGAATCCAAATAGAGACAAATTTTTCTAATCAAGGCCAGTTGCAAAGCAGAAAAGTTCTGTAGCTATACGCTATTTTTTTTTTTGTTTGCACTCACAGTTGAATGATTACTACCGTGAATTTGAATGTAGAAGCAAAAAAAGGAATCCTGGTCAACCTGGAATGCATCAATTCCTTGAAGGGGAGCAAAGCTATGCAAATAACTACATGATGGACTGGGATAATTGTTCTAAAACATTGATTAATTGGAAAATTGAATTCAATTTAGTCTAGAGAAGTACTGAATACACTTTGAAGAGGTTGATGCTGGCTAGATAAGTTAGTCTAAATTAAACCCAAATCAGCTATTCAATGTGACTGATTTGGTGGATGAGTCTACACATTTGTGTGACTCACTTGCACTTTTCCTTTTTGTAGGAACCATTGACGGATTGCTAATTGGACAATTTTGATGATAGAAATAATTCATAATCTGTTCAACGGCTGAATGTTTAACATTCAGAACTGGGTTGACTTTTCCCTGAGAGAACGTAGTGATAGTGAGAGTCGATTAGTTTGTGATCAGGAACCGTCTACAATTCAAAGTATTCCGAGAACTCACGACTTCATTCTCGGGGGGTCCAACGACCAGTTTTGATTTTGGATCAAATTCCCATCCCAGGATCCTCGAATAAACACCTTTCATTCTCTCTAAAGCCTCCGTCTGGCTTTCATCGTTTCCAAGAGTGCACTTGGAAAAGTCAGGAAGTCTGAAGTTTTCGGTGAGGTTTTGAATTTTCTTGCTGGAATAGCTTGGCTTATGCTGACCAACGGATAAGCCAGATAATATATAATGAGTGTGATACATGTCAGGATCCATTCCAGGCTTGTCTTTCAATCCACCTTTGGATTCAGCAGTAGGTTGCTCTTGAGAAGCGAGCAGAATATACTCTTGTAGGGCCTGTCGATCACACAAATCGGGGAATTCTTTTTCTCCTAAGAAACATGGCGTTAACTCACCGATAAGATAGTCGGTCATGAAGATAAAAAAAAAAGAAGCTTACCAGAATGGTCTGACATGAGCATTGCTTCGAGGAGAGGGAGAAGTCCACCGCACCACCAAATGTAACAGCCATCGACCAGCTTGTTGGTCCTACCTCGGAAGCCGCCCCCTTCTATTGGCAAGGCTTGGGATTGGGTGACCCAGCGTAAGCAGGCTTCAAAATCAAATTTACGTGTATTAGGAAGCCCAGGGTATCCTTGAAGAAAGAAGTACGAGGCCAAAGCACAGGAAGTGTATCCTCCGTGTGCTTCTCCAATAGGTGAACCGGTGTGATTACCGGAAAGTCCCGACTGTATTTGTTCTTGGGGATTCAAAATCGAAGTTGCTCCCATACCTCCCTCGTGGGTTTGACAGCTGTTGATTGATCAGCCAGGATGCTGATTAGCGATTGACCTCTGGTAGAAGAGTGAAAGAAAGTTAAGGACGCGCACTTGACCAAGTATTGCGGGAGATCCCTGACGAGTTCAGGTGTGAGTAGGTTGAGCATGGTGGCAACGGCCAGCGCGCCAAAGCAGCCACTATATATATGGGGGGCATGTAGATGAGTAACCACTCTTAATTATTATTATTAAAATCTAATATTCCAAAGCGATAAAGATGACATACCGAACATCCACTTCTCCGTCATGTTGGACGGCAAAGCTTCCATCGGGGCGCTTCAGGCTTAACATCCAAGCGTACAATTTCCCAATTTGAACTTGGGACCAGGTATCATTGACGAGGTCTTGTCCAGCATCCTCAAGTAAGATAGCCAGGCAGCAGATGCATGCATAAGTTGCAGCAAGATGGGCTAGGTGTCCGGGCCCAGGGGAGCCGCTGAAGCCGCCATCGGGATGTTGGAAGGAGAGTATGGTCTGAATTGCTCTATCCCTCTCATCCGGTTTGATTTTAACATCTAACATGGATAGTGAACCCAAGACCCTACGATCGCACAGAGTTCGATCAGGACTTATCTGTAATGAGAAGAAGAAAAAAAAGTTGATGGATACGAACCAATACATGATCCAAGTACGGCTGGCATCTAGCGCTATCCATTGACCGGGTAGTTCGAAGATCTTTGGGTAAAGATAAGTAATATGACTGGATGAAGCAAGCTTAACCCTAAAGAATCATCGGAGGGGGTTCAGATTGACAGAAGAATTGATATCCTTGAGACAAGAAAGAAAGAAAAAGACATGAGCGACCTACGAGTCGATGGATCGAGATTCTTTGGATGAATTTTGAGGATTAAAACTAGCAAATGGCTCGAGGTATTTGATGATATCAGACTCAGTTGATAGTTGGTTTTGCGAAGTAGCGGTTTTGAGATTGTCAAATGGGGTTGGTAAGAGTGGATATCGCGGCATGGTGAGGATGGAATGGATGGGCTAGAGTAGTGAGGACACAGATAATAGAGACTGGTTTATTGAAGGACCGGCTGGTGCTCAAATTGTCGACAAGATTTGAAAAGGAGAAGATGAAGGGGCCTGAAGGACAACCGCACGTGACCGGATATGGTGCGGAAGGCGGTTTATGGAAGAAGGGGAGTACGCAGGTCGGCGTTGGAGGTTTTGCGGAAAGGGAAAGGGGGGACATGGCCATCCGCTGTGAGTCCCACTAGAAGAGGAAGATGGCCGGATCTATTCATTTTATTTTTTTTGTTTAGCGCCAGGAAGGAGCCTTTGTGATGAGCCAGCGGACTTCCAAATGTGCAATCTGCGGGGATCAGAACGAGTGCCGGAGTGGGTTGAGGGAGTGGCCAGTCGTCACCCAACCATGCAAACAAGAGAGAAGCGCCGGATTGAAGGCATAAGCACATCGGGCCATGGTCGCCAGTTGCTTCTGACTCGGATACGGCTGTTCCCTTCGATTCAACCTGGACCCAGCTGGTGGTGGTGCCGTGCAAGGAGACGGCTGCCGAACAAGGCAATCCGCCTTCCTTTCCTCACTCATCACATATCGTCTTGCCATTCTCCAGATTATTCCCACCTGATCATCATTTACTTCTAGCACAGGCAGTCCCAGCCGTGTACTTCTATTCTCGGTCCTCTAGCCTCAATTACACTTGTCGACTTCTCTCATGTAAAGAATTTTCAGGGATCTGAAAGTCTTGGCAGGTTGCAGGAACAGGGTGCAGGGAGGATTTTCGAAATCCTAAAGTATAAGTGATGAAACGTATCTACATATAACTAAAAAAATGGCCTCAGAGGGCCAAACAAACTGTCAGCCTTTGTATTGATTTCTCATGCGGCTTCTAACGCCGGCGTCGATATTTCACATTTCAATGTCATTTCTGACATTCACTAATACTTTACAATCATAGCGACCTTCAAAATCAAAGGTACACCATAGGACTTTAAACAAGTAAAACCCCCAACATCCGGGGCAAAAACGAGCAGCCTCCCCAAATTTGGGGGCATATACTAGTAATATATTATAATACAGCTATTTCGGAAAGGGTTGTCCACTTGGACTCGCGAAATCTTTTTTATTTTTTTATTTTTTTTATTTTTTATTTTTTTTACTGAACTGGGCCTGTCAGAACTGAACTACTGATGACAGCTGTACCTCCTCGGCTGTAGTTCAGTACAAAGAAAAATTTAAAAATTTTCAAAAAAAAAAAAAATTTGAGAGACAACTGGACAACCCTTTCCGAAATAGCTGTATGAGAGTGAAAACAAGATAAATCCCATGGGGGAACAAGAGCGGGTTCGAGAGAGAGAGGTTATTTAAGACAAATTTTACTCGACACGCGCCGGGATCTCAATACTCCTCGACGCGCCTAACAACATAATATGTGTAACTAGAAATAGAAGATACATATTATGTATTTATGTATAGAAAATAACTGGACATGACTAGAATTAGAAATAAAGAAAACATGATCTGTGGGCGTTGTTGTCTAGAGATTGATTTTATAGAAAATAAAGAAAATGAAACTTTTGAGTTTTTGTCCTGAGGTCGCCTATTGTTGACATCTCACTGCCTGTATATTGAACTTTAGGTCCGACGGGTTCTTTTTCACCCCGCTGCGGCGCATCTGTTCACCAGCACGTGGTGAGATGCACAAGGTTGGAAACCTAGTTCTGCATTGGCTGTTGTATTTAGAGTTCCTTCATTGTCATGTTGTCTTCTCTTTTTCTTCATCCAATCATTTCAGTTTCTTTTCTTGTTGCCTGAGTCTCACCCCGCCGTTGTCTCTCTTCTGCTCGACCCAGGTCTGTAGTCCTTTTCTCTTCTCTTTTCTCTCTTGTTCTTTCTTTCTCATTTCTCACCTTGTTTTCTATCAGGTTCGCCTTCAGTCTCTCCTGTCGTTAGTTCACGCTACTCGTGCCCTAACATCTCTGGTTTGGAAACCAAAGATTCTGAGTTTTTTACTGTAATCATGATGCTTGCGCCGCAACGTTTGGGGGATATGTAGACCTCGCAGATCAAAATTCAATTCTTCTTCCCTGCATCCAGATTGAAATCAGAAAATGCGCTTCTTTCTAGTGCCAGCATGAGCACATACTGAAATGGGATCCAAAAAAGGGGATAACTATGTATCTCTATCAACCCATGTTAAGTTGATGAACAAGCTGAGAATTCCTAGCTTATCAAGAATTTATCTAATAGCAGCTGGTTTGACTGCCCATTTTATAAGACAGGAACAAATTACTCAAGCTCACATTGGAGGCAAGAACGAATCGTCCCGCATGATAATCCATCGGAACCATGACAACAACAAAAAAACAAAAAAAGAACTTATGTAATATGTGCATACTACCCATTTGGGCTTGTCAGGAGTCCAGAACTTGCCAACTTGGCCCCTCGGCCGGCGGGTGGGGGTACCTTGGAGCCTGGAGGTGATGAGTCGGTACAAGAACCCGCTCGCTGGGCTGGATTACACCTTGGCAAGCGGCTTGTATCTGATAGACAAGCAAGTTTCCTCCCAAGGGCCCATGGGAGCAGCGTCTGCTTTGTGGCTGCTCGCTTGTGAGGGGGCTTCCTTGCCTCGTGGGTGAGATTCCTCCTTGGGCTTGTAGAGGTTCACCCAGGGAGCTTTCTCTCAAGCAAATGGGACAAAGCATATGTACCCACTTCATCAACGGCGGAGAGCAAATAGAAATTGATGGCTCAGGAGAAATCGGCGCTGGACAAAGGGTAAAAGATGTACAGTTGTACTTCTTTGCTTGGTGATCACCCTATACATGCTCGCCAAGGAAGATTCCTCCTTGGCGAGCGGGTACAAGGTGTACCCATTCACCCGGCAGACCCTCTCCTTGGTGAGCAGGCATGTTAAAGTAATGACTGGGGAGTACTCCTCCCCAGCGAGCAGGGTTGGGTTCAACCACAAGGTGATCGATTGTAGATTGACCCATTCCCAAAATCATCCATTTCATTTCAGAGTATGGGTGCTTGGGTCAATCTTACTCAACACGACTATCATGCGGGACGTTTCGATTCCCGCCTCTGTGACTGTCAGATCCCGTGATGTCTCCCGACTCTTTTTCGTCTCCACCCGGTCGATTTCGGGTAATTTCCCCGCGCAGTCCGCATACATGAGATTGCCAAGAAAAACTTAAAAAAGACTCTTCCCCGCCGCATTCTCCCTGTTGACCATCTCGCCGCCACTCGACCCATCTTCATTAGATAACCTCTCACTTCACTGCTCGTTCCTCGAATCCGACTTCTAAAAAAGAAAGAAAAACCAAAAAAACGAGATTCGTATCGATTCGAGATGGGAGTCCCAAACTCAAGAGCCTCCCTACTCAGTCTAGTCTCACTCAAACGACAGCCCAACCAGAAATCGATTCGAACGATCAAGTTCAAGTTACTCAGACCAGCCTCAACCACTACTAACAGCCCATCAACACCAACAACAACCAGTTCAACTAACTCACAATTACATCATCATCACCACCACCACCATAATACGAAGAAGATCCCCATCAGCCATCGATCACTAACCAGTCTACCACCTAATCACCATCAACTCTCCTTCTTCGACCCATCAGCCAGCCTCAACTCATCCGAATGTACTCCAGCTCATCAGATCTTTCAACCTATCGATCCATCTGTCTGTCAACCTTCATCAGCATCCTGTTCTACCTCCCCCCAATCTCGTTCCCCCTCAACCACTTCAAATCAATCCGGAACGAGATCTACTCACTCCAACTCATCCGGTCAGACCTCCTCAACCCTCCTCAACCACTCATCCGAACCAGATCCTACTCACGACTATCATCAACTCAGCAGTAGATCAACAACCTCTCATCTCTCCCCTCATAGCCAATTCAGTCCACTCAATCTCTACGGGCACTCTCATCCAACTCAGACAAATCAACAACTAGAACCTTCCAAATCTTCACTCCTCCAGAAAAAGAACGTCTTCGTCTTCAGGAATGGTGCAAGTGGGATCCCCAAGAACCGTTTCCATGGAGGCGCCGGCGGTGGTGGTGCTAATAACAATAACAACAGCAGCAGCAGCAGCAGAAGTTCACCCAAGGATATCAATGCCAATATTGAAGCCGAGAAGCAGTTAAATCCGATGAGCAGTGTTCAGGTTGGAGAAGATTCCTACTTCCTGAGATCTGATAGTTTGGGTGTCGCCGATGGGGTTGGTGGCTGGAGTGGAAAACCGGGGGCAAATCCAGGGCTGTTTTCGAGCAAATTGATGCATCGTTGAGTCTGTTTGATACTGCATGTAACCTAATCTACTTCCTCCTCGGATTAACATTCTTGTTTCCACTGTCTCTCTTCGCCATCCAGATTGCTCGACAGAGGTCTCTCGATACGAAGATATAGACGATGTTCGCTTTCTCTCATACAACGCAATCGACCCTGTTGACATCCTACAGCACGCCTTCGAGCGCTCAATCCATGAATCAAAACTAGAAGGCTTATTAGGTTCGACAACTGCTCTGATTGCCATCCTTCGAGATGATGAGTTGAGAATTGCCAATCTTGGAGATTGTTGTTGCTCGTGAGCCCATTTGTTTTTCTTTCTTTCGCTGGGTACACATGGCCTTTCTAAATCTTCTTTTATTCTTTCTAGAGTTATTCGCGGAAATGATTTCATCTTCAGGAGTGAGGAACAGCAACATTCTTTCAATTATCCGGTTCAGATTGGTACCAATTCCAAATCTACACCCGCAAGGGATGCTCAGCGATACAACATCAAAGTTCAAAAAGATGATGTAAGCTCACACTCTTTATACGCACCTCGAGCTTTGCTTCCACTGGTTCTCACTTTGTCTCATGTTTCTACTCCCTGCTAGATTGTAATCTTGGGTTCGGATGGATTGGCGGATAATCTGTTTGATGAAGACATTTTAGAAGAGGTGCTGAAGTTTACGACGATCTCAAAAGAAGACTCTCTCAATCCCGGCGATGGCAGAGCCGCAGTTTCACGGTCGTTCACCCCGCAAATGATCTCTGAGTCACTTTGTTTAAAAGCCCGAACGGTAGTCGAAGATCAACAAGCAGTCACTTCTCCCTTCTCACAACGAGCTAACGAGGAAGGGATTCATTATGTTGGTGGAAAGAATGACGATATCTCGGTCTTGGTAGCTATTGTTGGCGATCGAAATGATTCGTAGCTTCAGATGACTCCCCCTTTTTTTGGTTACAAGTGAGTCCGTTCCAGTTTATGTACCCAATTCACTCAGTAATAATAACTTTGGATTTCCCTCTTGTACTAGATCTCTTTCACCCTTCTTGGCAGCTTGAAGAAGCATTAATACATACCGTTTCCATCCCTTTCTTGTCCTTTTACCTAGAAATTGGAACTTGAGTCAAAAGTCGATTTTTTTTTTCAAAAACAAACAAGAAAAACCCCTTCTTCCCTCTACTCTTCTATGTCCCTCTTAACAATTCTATCAGGTGCAATCTGTAGCCTTCCAAATCCTAAAATCAAAACATTGGTATACATATACAACAACTTGTTTGTTCTCTTCCTTTGCTCTTCCACATCAAACCGGACCTAAAAACACATGCTTACAGATCAAGCAGTCCAAAACAATGGTGGCACTGATTTGAAGGTTTCAGTGTCGTATTGACTGAATTCTTCCTTGTGTCAGCTCACTCTATTCTTTCTCTGCTATTTCCCCCCTTTTACCTCTTCTCTTGGCTGTTTAAACATTTCATCTTTTTAGGCTGGTGATTAATTGCATGAATCTGTATCTTGTAGTGGTGTTCTCCTAGAATTCTTCAGTGTTCTTTTCTGTAGCCTTTTCCTTTTTTTGTCTTTGAGGTGTTAAGGTTGATGGGTTGTGCTTTTCTTTTGTTGTTGTTGAGGTCTCAAAATGAAAAACCATCCCTTTTTGATCAAGATTTTTGGTTGAGCAGATGTTTTGTGTGTGCCAAGTGAAAAAAAAAAAAATCCTGGCAGTCTCCCCATCTTAATTGGCTCAACAACTATCTCAGATAAGCAATAAGAGAGAGAAGAGCTTAAATGGGCTTTTTGCTGTTTCCTTTTTCCAAACATTTGTTGGAGGAACTCAGAAAAGAATTAAATAAAAAAGAAGAAATAAGAGTGCAACTACTTATGAATGAGAAATCCTTTTTTGCCTCAAATCAACTGGATGTTGGTTGTCAAGCATAAATTCAAACAATTGATTTGAATTATGACTTTTTGCCCCTGTTGTGTGTTTTAGAACAGAATCCTTACAGCTATAACAAGGAAGCTTGTGGGCTCCAAAGTCAGAAAATAAAAAAAAAATCTACACACAACAGTTGGAAGCTTTGGAAGAATACAGGTCCATTTATGTATGGATTACCTCCAATCAAATCAGCTATCTTTTTTTTAAATTTTTTACACACTTTCAGGTGATGGGAGTAACACCATTGGAATCCTGATGGAAAGTTCAGTGCACTTTCCCTCCATGCCATGCCCAAGCTGTGACTGAGCTTCCCCTCAGGGTGGGGGTGGGGGGGCGGTCAGGTCAGGTCAGGTCGCATTGGTGCTGCTGACCAGTACATCACAACCTGTACGTCTGTCTGTATTCTTCCAAACATTCTGACTGTAGTCAACGTTTTTTTTGGATTTTCTGACTTCTGAGCCTGCAAGCTTTCTTGCTATAGCTGTAAACCTGTTGAACAGTAAGGATTCCTTTGAATGTCTTGTGTTTTCTTTCAAAAAAGGTGGGCTGAGGAAAAATTTGAACCATTGTAATCATGTAAGAAATTACAACTCACGGTTGATCACAAGGTCTAGTTTGCTCAACCTTATCTGCAAATTATTTTGATCATGTTTCTTTTTCCATGCAGGATCCTCTGTTGATATATAGGGACAAAATTTGAACATCAACAAATCATTCATCACCTGATTTCTAAAATGAGGTGTTGATTGCATAAATATATCCCCCTCTTTCCCTTTACTGAGGGCCTGTGTCATACAAAAATGTCAATTTATCAAGAATTAAAAAAATACTATTCCTGTTTATGGTGATTAGTTTTCAGTTGTGTGACTGAATTTAGGAGAATTTTGAAGAAGAACTAACAGAACATTGTAGTTGTGTGATGAATTCATACCTGTTAGTTCTTTGAATGAAGTTTTGTAAACAAAATCTTAAATTAGGCAGATACTTCATAGATCAAGCAATCAAGTTCTAATGTGAAATGAAATAACACTAGACTAGGACACCATTAGCCCAGTCCACAATAGCCAGTCATCAGCAAAAAATTTAGCTGTAATCAGCAAATCATTGACACTTAGAAACACATCCATTTTTAAATGTGTATTCCAGAGTCCCTCAGATTATACCAGATCCATCCAAAAATATTTTTCTGTCCACAACTTTGAACAAGGTGGTCAGCCATTGAAACTGGGTATTGGAAACTGGGTGGGCTATTGTCATCAGAGAAAAACTTGCTTTCTACCCCCTATTTTCAGGAAATGTGAGACAACACAATGGATTTTAAACCAGAGATCTGATATATAATGGCTTGAGTTGAGTGTACATGAATAAATCATCTCTAGGAATATACTAATAGTTTGTGAGGGATGGAAATCAGTGATGTTACCAATTCAAGTTCAAGTCAACTTCATTTTCATAAAGTGGCTTATAATTATGAAATAAAAAATCAAAAATATGCACAACTAATCCAAATTTAGCCACTCAGCTCCTTACTCCCTCTGCCTCATCAGTCAAGAAAAAAAAATCCTGTATATCTTCTATCAACTTCTGAAATTCTCTGAATCACATTCATTTTATTAGTTAAAACCCATAATAAAGGCAATTTCTTATTATGCAGTATCAAAACACAAATTTAATTCTTATGTCATTGCTTTTCCTGTATTTTTTCCATTTGTATCAAAACAGAAATTTAATTCTTACATTGCTTATCCTGTATTTTCAAACCTGACCTTCAAAATCAACAAGGGCCTTAGCTAATCGACTCCCAAACTTGGGAGGATCAACTCCCAAATTTGGAAGTTGTTGGGAGGACCACTTGGGGACAGTCCCAGGACGTCCCCAGCCCTGAAAACCCCTCCTGGTTGTTGAGAGGTGGACACCCTCAGCAACCAGGAGGATGTTGAGACAAAGAAGGGGACTTGATGACTGAAGTTCACTGACGTATCATCTGTGACACTTTAGGAGTGAAAAAGAAAAAGACTTCACTAGAGAAGAAAACACTAGACTAATCCATGTGGGAACTATATACAGGATTGGTCCAATGATTTGGTTGAAGCATACCTTGCTATAAGCATATACTCCAACAGAGGATTCCTCTTGGTTGCTGAGGTTTGTGCACTCTCAGCGGCTGACAGTAATAACTCCCGGCGGTTGTGATGAAATTGAAGTCGAAGAGGGAAAAGTCGGCAAAGCCAAAAGCAGACAGAGTCTGTAATAGGCTATTTATCCTTAATAAAGCAGGCTTAAGTGCGCTTTGAGTTAAGGCTGAGAGGAGGCTCAAGTGTTGACTCAGGACCAGGAAAAATAGCTAAGAACCGATGTTTTCATTATCTCTGTATCCAGTGAGGTCTAAGTAATCTAGATACAACAAGCACAAGTTGTGGGATCAAACAATTATGCATAATGAGTATATAAAAAGAGTGACATGTTAAGTAAGAATGAGAGAGAGGTCGAGTGAAATTCCAACAGTTGAGGTGTACAGGCTGGTGGGGCAGGGGGGGGGGGGGACAAAATTCAACGGCCAGGAGGATTCCCTCTGGCTGCTGAACGTGTCCAAATATTGACAGCCGGGAGGGCCGTCAAGATTTGGAGGGCATTCCCCGGAAGATTAATCCAGGGAATGATTTATTTTTCATTATTTTCATGAGAGAATCGACTCCCATTCGTGCTTCAGGAATGGGAGGAGCGACTCCCACAGCATAGAGCATCTCCACCACAGTCCGTATTTTTGGGTCCCTATTGATTGAAAATATGGACTCAGGAATGCAGATAGGGACTGGCAGACTTGTTCTGCCACACTGGGCAGTCTGTAAATCAACATGACATGCAAGTATTGGTGCAGTGTTGACAAGATTTTACTTGAGGTTGTGGTGTGTGTTGTGTGACATTTACGTTGAGGTGTGCTGTGAGTGCACAATCCTTGGTCCCTATCCAATCCCTGGATCAAGGGTCTGGAGAGGGACCAAGGATGAAATCCATAAAATATGGATGCGGCTGGGGACCGTGGCGGGAGTTGATTTTTGGTCTCCGGTCCCTAAATGTGGGATAGGGACCCAATTTAGGGACCGCGATGAAGATGCTCTTAGGGGGGGGGCTGGGGATGTCCTGGTACTTTCCCCAAGTGGTCCTCCCAACGACTTCCAAATTTGGGAATCAATCCTACCAAGTTTGGGAGTCGATTAGCTAAGGCCCATCAACAAAAAGGCTTGAATTGTTACTTTCTTCTTGATGGGACCCTCTGCACACAGGAAGGAAAGATAAATTAGCAATCAATTTGAGTTTGTGAGTTAAAATTGACAATCAAGATCAAAGTTTGAAATTTTGTTATTCCTGCCAATTATGATATTTTTCTGATAATTTATAACCTGAATTGATCCATTGAATATCTATGTTCATTAGTGGTGGTTTCCTACTCTGACTCTGCTCACAAATTAATTATCTTTTTGTCATAAGTCTTCATTTTTCATCTTGAAAAAATATGCAGCAGAAGAGCTGTAAGGCATTACTGTGATGAATGCTGAAAGTTCTTCATAAATGACCAGCGTGTTGGGATCGAGCAACATGTTAGACAGTTTTTCAAGTTGCTATACAGGATGGGAAATTTTGAAACAGCATAGCAATATTTTTGAGCTCCCACTCATTTCAGGAGGGGTAATTATGCTGCATTGAAAGCAAATTGTGAGGATCAAGTGTGCACAAAATTACACTTGGAAAACAAATCTAGCCATGGTTCAGACTCTCGAAATTAGCACCAGAAACAACAATCCAACTCTAGGAATGAAACTGCTGTATGGAAATATTCGCTAGACTGTTCAACAGTTTGGCACGAAGGAAAGAGTACGAGAGTTAATTTCCCAACCTTCTCTCTTTTTTTCTTGTTGATCGTGTAAGGTTGGATAATCAGTTTCTGATGATTTCTAAGATCTGCTTCCATGCTTCCAAGACCACTGATCCTCGATGTTGTGGATTCGAAGAGGGTGAATCTTCGACGTCCCATGAGCAAGCTTCGATTTCGGGCCGAGTGAGTGGGCTGAGGACCCATCTTCCGACGTCTCCAGGATCCTTGCTCGGGTTGGAGACATCCCGACCGACGCCGATGCCGATAGTATATAGATTTTGGGGAGAGTAGGCCCTGAGACTGGCAAAGACCGACCTGAGGCCGTTGTGGCCCTTGTGTTTTGATGATTGAGGCGGCCGTTTGAGTCGAACGACGAGCGGTTTGAGATCAAGCTCATCATGGATGATGATCAGCTTTGTCGGATGGCCAGACTTGGAAAGCTGAGAGTGATAAGACTGGACGATCGGACCGGAGATGTTCATTGCGGCTCGAGGTTTGAGAAGGTGCAGGGTTAGGTTGATAGGGCTTGTCCCATTGAATGATTGGAAATCGTGTTTGGCTATCCAAGCTGAATTTGGCTTGGAGAGTTTCAAGTGATTAGATAGATCGGAGCCCGACTGGACTGATTGTAGCCGAGATAGTGCTTCTTCATGGGAACTCGGTGAGGACGGAAAGGCTGATGCCACGGAGTTCACGTTATACCGATGGTGGTGATTCAAAAGGTTGTGGATATTTTCAAGCGTGAGTTGGGAAATCTAAATAAAAAGACTCAAAGTCAGCCCTATAATCTCGTTCATCTAGATCATTGTCACTCCAGAGAATAGTAGAACGGTATCTATGAGAATGTTGAGTACTGCGTAGGTAGACTCACTGAATGACGGGTGAGTGGATGGGTGTAGTTGCCCAGGCCGACGACCAACGCGTTCAAACGCGACATCTTGTGATTTTTTGATGTCTCCGAAATTCAGAATCCACTGGAGGAGTCAACCTGAGTCGAACAGGCCGGATACAATCATACATAGCAGACCCGGTGTGACCTGGCCGTGACGGATCGGAGCCGGTGCAGAAGGCTCCGGGGACTACCATCCACGGCTTTGACACTCTTGGTGTTTGATCTCGTTTTTCTTTGTCCTCCTCTAGATTCTCACTTGCAAAAAGCATGGGCACTCTATGTAGCTGTGATTTAGACCAGATAATATCATATTAAGAGAGATTCTTTCCCGATCCCTCAATCTATCGAGGCGGGGAGCATCCCTCCTGAACTATAAGGCAGCCCAATTGAAGCTGAACTTAGTGTCCCCAGACATATGCTATTTTGCCTTGGAATATTGCTTGAACATTGATAAGAGTGAATCTAAAATTTGTTCTATCTGATAACTCGCAGTATGCACTTTCAAAGAGAAAAGGAAAAGTCAAGAATAACAAAGATATATAAAAAAACGTCTGAAATGGAGATGGATTGAAGTTGAACGTTCAAATATTGGAAACATAGACGGATTGATTACTTGTTATTATTATCCGAGTCTTTGATCTGTAGCTCTGCCATCTTTTTACCATCCTTGGTCCCAGTTGAGGCCAACATGGCCTCATGTGCTTCTGCCTTCGGTATCAGTTCTTCTTTGATCAGTCGTTCTGCTAATGCTTTCACCGCTTCGGCCTGGGTGAGTTCGGCCTGAGTTGAAGAAGATGATAGATTGGCTCGAGCTCTAGCAGACTTCTTCCTTCCGTTAGTTGATTTGGGTTTCTCGAGTTGTTCTAATTCGAGTTCTCGTCTCGCTAGTTCGTCTACATCTTTGCCCCATCCGATCGGTCGATAGAGGAACCTTTGAGCTTTCAAGGCCACATTAGTCCCTCTGACGGCATCCGTCCTGAGATAGTTGATCCATCGGTTGATCACTTCCTCGTTCGCATCATAAGCTTTGATGACCCTCCGATGGGTCAATCGCCAAAAGTTCTCCTGAGACTTCTTGTGGACGAAACCAGACCTCAGGACGGTATGTAGCTCGGTTTTGATCGGCATGGCGGCCGGTCGGGTGACGGGTATACCGAGATGATAGGCGGCCTGGAGAGCAAAACCGGCAACGAGGGGTAGTTGTTCCTTTTCTGGATTATAGGCTTCGATCACCAGCGTTGCAACATGGATCCGATGGGTTGGTTTGAGTACTGGTGGATCGTAGAGCTCTGGATGGGCTCTCATAGCCCAGCCAGGATTTGCTGGGATATGGATGAGTTCTTTAGCCTGGCTAGTAGATTGAGGCGGGCGGACGCTGCAGATAATCAAGAAAGGAAAGGGGTCAATTGGTTTCCAAAAAAAAAAGAAAACCAAGTAGTTCCAATGAGATCATGCTATCCAGGAAGGGTTTAAAGACTGACGGTGAACTGATTGAGGAGCTCGATCCAGCCAGTTGGGTGACATAATCTTCGATCGAATTCGATTGTTGACGATCGGTCTCAGTTTGCGAGGGATCAGTTGATGAGGGTTGGCTGGGCTCGGTTGGGGCTAGGACTGAGTAGTAGTTCCTCCGAGGTAGTGTTGCTGAGGATAGCCGAAGCAGACGGAAGGATGAGATTGAGGAGAGCATGCCTTGATCGAGTGGTGTTGATTGGTGCTGTGCTGTGCTCAGTCTCCTTTCATGAGCTGAAAAACCCACCAGGGTCAACACGGGGGCCGATGGGCTACCCCGGGGGGTGACCAGATTCCAGATGGATATTCCAAGTCACAATTTAACTTTTGATGAAGCGAAACCAGAAAAACAACAACAACCAGGATGGCATCGAAAAGCTTACATTCAAAACTCAGATCGCTGCTACCCAGGAGATGCCCTCACATCAGGACTGCTACGACGGCGGCGGCCACCAGGGGTACTACTCAAGCCAACTCACACTACCCACCCAGCTCAACCCAAATCAAACGACCATCAACATCATCCTATGTCCCATCCACTCGATCAAAAATGTCATTCACTCGACCAACACCATCTCAAATTGATCCTGTGCTAAACACGAACGAAACCGATCGAACAGAGCTGACTCGTAAGTAACATCTGACTTTGATCATGAAATTTCAAACTAACGATAATGACCTATGTATGAAACCTGTGATTAGGAACAGCAAAGAGAACTCGGAAAAGAGAGAAGCCCCTATCAGAAGAGGAACAAGAGAAACAAAGACTAGAGAGGGAAGAAGAACTAACTGCGAATCTAGAGAAATCCTTCAAACCACCCAAGATTCTATTTGAAAATGAGAAAGTGGTCGTGATCGATAAACCAGCTGGTTGTGCGCTACAGGCAGAACTTGGATCTGAAGCATACATTAGATGGAAACTAATTATGGATTGTAAGCAAAAAAAAACATCCTTGACAAAAATAAAAAAAATACCAAACCGAAAAAAACACACACCATGGTCTGATATATCATTTATTGATTGATTGATTTAAAGATCTCGAAAAAAGACGAGGAAAGCTATTCATAGTCCACAGGTTGGATAAATCGACCACCGGACCACTAATCCTAGCCAAGTCATCCACTGCATCAAGAACACTCTCGACCCAATTCAAGAACTCGACCGTCAAGAAGACCTACTATGCGGCCATCCAGTTCCTAGGTGATAGGATTGGTCCAATTCAGGATGCTAAATCCTCCGGTCAGATCGAATGTAGGATGAGGGACAGTAAGGATCGGATGGTGATTGCCGAATGTTAGTCGGAAAAAAATTATGAAAAAAGCAGATACCATTCCTTCTTTTCAAAGTTTTCATTGAAAATATCCTTTCCCCATCAGCAAATCGAACCGGCACGGATTGTAAGCAAACTAAAACAAATTGGGAATTAGTTACCGCAACAGTTCAGCTCTTTCTCTCTCTCTATTTCTTCCCAAACCTGCCAATCCTTTCTTTTCTCCGAGTTCAACAACTAAATATCACTGCAAGCTGATGCAGAGCTTTCTCTTTTTCTTTCTTACAGTCAAACCATGCAATTGTCAGATTGACACCACAGACTGGCCGAAAACATCAACTTCGACTACATTGTTCGAGATTCTTGGCTGGACCGATTGTCGGTGACTTCAAGTATGACTTCCGCTATCTCAGCTATCAATCCCAAAAGGCCATCCATAACTTCTTAAATCGGGAGGCACCAGGAAGGCTCTTGTTACACTGTTCTGAAATCGAATTCAAGGTGGGTTTAGTCATCCCTCATGTTTTTGTTTGACCTTTTAAAACAAGAACAACTGATTTTATCCCTTCTACTTTCTTGTCTCCTTATCATCGTCGCTCGATTTGTCCATCATTCAGCTTTACAAGAAAGAGCAGCCCCGAGAGTATACAGTTCGTGTCAGTAGTCCCCTTCATGATGATTTCAGGATCGTTTGTGATCAGCTGGATCTCAGCACGAACGCGATACACTAGTCCATTCAACATATCTATCATGGTCATGTGGGCCTTGGATCAGAGTGGATGAGGGATCTGGAAAGATGCCACATGTGATCGACAGAAGGGCATGACTCGTAATAACATCTAAAAATCATCACTTTTTTTTCTAAAACAAAAAAGTGCAACAGCACGTCCCTCCAGTATGTACAATAATTTTCTAATCGAGATCATAGTAATTCCATGGTGACCGGAACGGCTTGGATGATCTCATCTCAACCGGGTCCAGTTTCTGGGTTCATGGAGTTCATAAGTCCCCCAATCCATGGCGCCCACTGATTCCAAGTTGAATGGGAGATCCCTGTGCAGTTTTCTCAAAGTATTTTGTTATTACAAATAACGAAGCCATTCAATGGAATATGATGTACTTTCTTCCTTGTATAGTTTCGTATCAGCTTTTGTCGCATGTACCGATTTGATCACGGTATTTGAAGCTTGGCTTCCTTGTAGCGACAGTATACTCTCCTTATGAGTAGACCTGTACGCGCGAGTTTTCTAAAATCATCATGAGTGTTGATGAATGTTGGAGGTTCGACTTCACCTGGCCTCCAAGGTTTCCTCGGAGCACATGGGGTCAAGCATTCTTGCTCCCTCGAAACCTTTCAGCCTCTATGACGCAGAGGGGGCCATGAGTCATCCAAACATTTTCGTGCATAGCTCGCCGAGTTGGCCTGTTGTCGCCGATGCTAAGTTTGAGACTCATGACCACTTGAATTTCATTTGCCAAAGCAGAAACGATTCCACAGCCTGCCCTCTCAGTGTGATGATGACAGTAATATGGATCGGACCGGTAAAGGCGGTTGAAGGATCATTGGGATGATCGGGATGGTGCATGACTCATGGGGATTTTCTTTCGTCATGATTTCTTTTGTCTCATCGTCTTTTGTTCTCTTTCGTCTTTTCTTCATTCGATCTTATTTATTCGTCTCACTATTCGGGCGACTCTCAGTTGTCGTCTATCATAAAAGATCTTTTATCTTTTATTCTCTCTCAGGTTCTTCGTCGCTAATACTCGAGCACTCCTCATCACAGTTTCTTACTCAGGTCGTGTATCGTCGAAAGTCTTATCATGATAGCTTAACGAAGCCATTGTACCCAACTGACCCATTCCGTTGACTGAGCTGGTCGATGAGACTCCAATGCTCGCGGAGTGCAACTTCAAGGAGGAGCCTTTCCTCGACAGTCGGGGCCTTATGAGTTCGATGAAACTGAATTCCCCAGCCCGACACCTCAGCTGACATCACATCAACTCCCATTGCTGATCCTCACAAGTTTCCTTCACCGGATAGCCCCGTTGAAATCAAGAAGCACACACAAAAGTATATCCCTTGGCTATCAGCACATTTCCCATTCTGCGTGCATATTTAGATCGATTGTCTCCAAACACTTTATCCAGTAGCTCATTGCTATAGCAAGTTCAACCCCAAGAACTGCCTAGCATGTTGCTTCATCTCAATGCACTGGTCATTTATGGAGTACTTCTACCACTTGTCACAGTAATGCCTTTCGACTCTTCTGCAGCATATTTGTCAAGGCACTCAATGAAGGAACATGACAAGAGGATGCTTACTTCGTGAGTAAGCGATCACGAAAGAATAGACATACAAATATTTTGGGCTGACCATCCTACTCAACATGCTAGTCTAATCAATGTAGGTCCCAAACAACAGATAAAAAAATTGCAGCAAGCTAAATCTCATGATTTTGATGACACTGGTTTGGTCTTTTAGGGGTCCTTCAACTGCAAGCATATCACGAGAACTGTATGTACACAACCAAGACTAAATCTTCAAGCCAGTGATTGCTTTCAAATTCTGACTTGAATTTTATGTTGTTGTGCTTCCAAAATCTCATTCCTTTCATGTGTGTAGAGGGTCTAATGCAAGAGAAGTTGCCGCATCACATGTGTTTAATGGTGATTTCAAAGGTACAAAAATTCAAGATGGAATGTAAGTGTAACATGGTTTCTTTCACATATTTCCCAACAGTTTGGAATGTTCAAAGACCGCGTACAATCTAACATCCATTTAAACCAATTTCCTGATAGTGAGATGAGAAATGGCAATCTGGATAAACCAAAAGGGAAAATTGGGCTTGAAACAATGTATAGACAATCATGATTTCAAATTTTAACTAATAAAATGAAACATTTTTCTAAATGTCTCTTTTGTTTTCTGTGGTTCATCTGTATAGAGGGACCCATTCAAAAGATGGTACAAGGCCAAGATTTATTGTTTCAAACGGCAAGGTTATTGAGATCAAGTAAGTGAATCATGTTTTAAATATTTCCAATCAGGTTGCAAAAATTTTAATGTAACAACTCTTACCAAAGAGCTTCTAGTAGTATTCCCAAGGCAAAAAGTCGAATTATGCCCAAGCTTAGTGATGTAAAAGGGAAAAATAGGGGAGAAGCAATGTAAGAATTTGATTTTGATTTCTAATTTAATATCATACAATCAAAAATCATCTTGATTGTGGATTTTAAGGCTTTGTTTGGCAGCATTATATCACAATTTTTGTGTGATATCCTATATGACATCTGATCAGGTCTGCCAAAACTTGATCAGATGTCTCAAGAATCCACATGATACATCTTGCTAAATTATATTGGTGCCAAGCAAGGGATGAATTGAAATGATAAATTTTAACTGATACAATTAATCTGATTCAGAGGATTTGAAGATTTTATGGATGATGTTCAGGAAATCTTTTTCTTGACTGAAAAAGGGAAGAAAAATTTGAGGACTGATTTTGAGTGAGTGTTTCATAATTTGAAAATTTGTACTGACAAGCCACTTGATGAAAATGAAGTTGAGCTTTGGTTGATAATATCACTGATTTTTATCACAATCAAACCATTCTTAGAAAAGACACAGCCCCTTTTTATAAACATGCATCAAAGCCATCAATGGCAAGCCCCCAAGATAAGCTATTTTCGGTTAATGCTCTGGTTTATGGTACTTTGAGGTGGATCACATTCCCTGAAAACAGTGGAAAAGAGTAAGCTTTCCTCTGGTCACTATCTTATACTAGCACATTCTTTTATTTCACATTGAAAACTGATTTCTTGTGCACATGAAGAATCTGCTTGATTTCAGATTTTGTTACTGAAGATTCAGCCAGAGAACTTGAACTAATGATTTTATCACATAACTACAATATTCTGTATGTAAACACACAGATAAAACTGTAAATCAAGGGTAATGTTGTACTTTGAAAATCTGATGATTTGAAATTCTTTTTCTCATACAGGCACCCAGTGAAGGAAGGAGGGAAAATGTATGTATGCAATATAGATTTCCTTTTGGTGGAGACTTTACAATTGATCAATTCATAAAATCAGGTGATGGATTGATATATTGATGCCTAAATTTCTTTTCCAAACTTATGAACAGAAAATCCCAAACGGCAAAGGTTACAGGATCAAAATCACTTGAAAATGCTGAAGAGCATAGACCCAATGATGAACTGTGAGTAAATTTCACATATTTATAAATTTCACAGGTTCTCTTTCTTTGCTAACCACCATTGTTGAAAAGATCCAGGGGCCAGGCAAGGGAAACTAGAACTGAAGAGCTTGAGATCAAAGCAAAAAACACAGGTAGATTCCAGGGTCCAAGTGAGAAGAAGGGTTCTGTAATCAAATTTCTTCTTAGCTGGCTTGGAGATTCCTTAGTTAAATTGCGTGATATATGCAGAAAGTTGAAATTCAAATGAATTGGAACTACTTGTAGCTTGACAGAAGCCCATTTAATTTGTGGCCAAAAAAAAACTGGACCAACTGCCTCCCTTTTCTTTTCTTTTCCTTTTATAATTGAATCTGCATCTGAACTCTTGCCTTCAATACTGCTACTTTTACCCTGAAATTATTGTTGAACTAACTTCCTAAAATCAGGAGGCTGCTAGTAGGCTCTTACTGCACCGTTCTAAGATCACAATTCAAGTGAAACAATCAGATTTTTTCTTAAAAAGATTAATAATCAGAAGCAGATAAGCACATCCACTCAATATTTGTATCAACTTGCTAGTCAAAACCAGGGTGACTGCATGGTGGCCGGAACGGCTTGGTTGATCTCATTGCAACCAAGTCCAGTCTGTTAGAGTTCAAAAGGTTTGGCGATCAATGGCGCCCACTGATGCCGAGTTTGAGATATTCATGTGCCAATTCCTCAAAGTATTTGGCTACTGCAGTCTGCAAACAGTGCAGTCATTCAATATAATACGTATGATGAACTTTCTAATCCCTAGCAGTCGTCCCAAATCTTATGATCTTATTGATTTGAACACATTTTTTGAGCACGGACTCCTCGTTACAACAGCAGACTTTCCTAACAGTAACAAGACCTGTCGAGTGGATTTCCTCAATTCATCATAGGTGAACGTGAATGCAAATAGTTCGACTTCGCTTGGCCTCACAAGTTTCCTCGAAGAACGTAAGGTCATGAAAAATTGCTTCCTTGAAACTACACAGTCTTTATGGCATAGAGTAGTTGCAGCCAGTCGTCCAGGCATTTTGATATGGCGGTTGCATCGCTGGAGTTGAGCTGTCGTCGCTGATGCTGAGTTTAAGACTCTGACTGCAACTTCAATTTTCTTCGCAAAACGGAGCAATGCCAAAGCCTTAGACTATGTTATTCCATGAGCCAGCTGAGGATGATCTTTCGAATTTTGCGCAGACATATGTATCAGCTGATTGAACGCATTCCTTAAGCTCAAACAAGCATCACTTCTCTGTTCACACATTTCCTAGCCTGCACACATAAATCTGTGTTCTTGCCATTATCATTGCAGCCCCGAGAATGTTGCTCCATCCCAATGCACTGCTCATTTATCCTATAATTCTCGCACTCGTCACAGTTATGCCTTGCGGCTCTTCACATTTGTCAAGATGCTCAATGAAGAAACATGATAAAAGGAAGGTTAATTTGTGAGTAGGCAAACACAGATAATGAACATAGATCAATGAGGCTAACTTTACTTTTCAAGGTGGTAGTATCTTCAAAACAACTGAATCAATGTAAGTCATAACTTGTCATATAGACATTGGAAGTGGAAGGAAACACTAAATATGAAAATTTGATGACATTGGTTTTGTCATTCAGGGTTTCTTCAGCCTTATCACAACAAGTGTGAGTGTGTAAACACTTATAAGAATCTGGAACTTAGTTCACTCATAAATTTGATATTATCCTTCTTCTAACACTTTGCCCCCTTCACGAGGATAGAGGGACTCATGCAGGCCAAGAAGGCACAGGATTGTGGGTGCTAGATGATGTAAAAGGTGAAAGCCAAGATGAAATGTAAGTGTAGTTTGTATCAAGTATTTCCCAATAGTTTGGAAAGACCCAAATTAATCCAACACATCTTAAAACATGATTTCAAGCAGTGGAAGAAGAAATGAAAATATGGGTGATCTCAATTCGAATCAAGTAAAAGGAAAAAATGGGGAAGAATCAATGTAAGTTTATCTTTTGTCAAGTTTGACTAATAAACTCAAATTCATCACCATTTTTTTCCATTATTTGTGTAGAGGGTCCCATACAGAAGAAAGTGGAAAACCCAGATATGTCATTGATTCCAATGGTCAGGTTCATGATATGAAGTAAGTGTAAATTGTTTGACCCATTTCCAAGCAAAAAAATTCTAGCTCAACAAATCTTTCCAAAAATTTTCTAGTGGTAAACCAAAGGAGAAAAATCTGATGAGGCCCAAGCTGAGTGATGTGAAGGGAAAAAATAGGGGAGAATCAATGTAATAATTCAATTTCTGGTTTGAGCTTGCATAATAATTAATTATCTGGATTGTGAATTTTGACTAACAAAATGAATGTGATTCAGAGGATTTGAGGAATTTATGGAGGATGTACAGGAAATTTTCTTCTTGACCAATGAAGGTAAAAGACAATTGAGGGCTGACTTTGAGTATGTGCTGTGGATTTCCAATAGTTGAAATACTTATAAGCCACTTGATGAAAATCAAGTTGAACTTGAACTGTTAACATCACTGATTTGCAACACTCACAATCTATCCCTAGACAGGACTTGGCCCCTTTTGTCAACCCCCAATTTAGGCCATTATGGCTCAAAGCTCTGGTTTATGGTACTTTGAGTTGGCTCAAATTCCCAAAAAATAGTGGGAAAGAGTAAGTCTTTCTCTTGTTAATTGTTCATTGTAGATTTTTTGATCATTTCATATCATAAACTGCCTAATTAAATTTGTTTCATGAAGAATCTGCTTCATTTCAGATTTTATTGCCCAAACTCCATGGCCAGAGCTTCAGCGGATGTTTCTATCACACAACTACAATATTCCAAAGTAAGTATGTGTTCAAATGTTTCATACATTCAGTCACAGAAATAAAACCATATTGGTTTATTTTCAAACTTGGGGTCAATCAACATTTTTCATCTCACACAGGGCTTCAGTATTCAAAGAAAGGAGAATGTATGTATGCAATCAAGAGCTCATTCTTGGGAATTCAAAAATAAAGGATTCATAAAATCATAAGAACAGTTGATGAATTGATACATTGATGTCTGACTCTATTCCCTACATGCAAACAGAGAATCCCATCTAAAAGATGTGACAGGATCAAAATCACTTCATCATGTTGAAGAAAATATTCCTCAGGTGAAACTGTGAGTTAATTTCACATGGTTGATGATGATTTCATTTCATTCATTTTTTCACTATCTACAAAACAATTCAGGGGAAACTCAAAGGATCCCAGACCAGAAAAACTTGAAAAGGTAGCAAAAACAGGCATGGGTCAAGCTCCAAATGAGGGAAGGGGTTCTGACACTGTTTCAAGTGTTAAGAAAAATGACCCCCATGATCAATTGTGAGTGGAATTTACGTGATTGATGATAGTTTCATTTGGTTTATTTTGGAACTATTTCCAAAATAATCCAGGGAAAATTCAAGGGATTCCATACCAGAAGCTATTAGAAAGGAAGCACACCCAGATATTGGCCACACTCCAAATAAAGGAAGGGTTTCTTTTTTCAGGTTTATGTACCACTGGTTTAAAAAATTGTTTGCAAAGTTAGGCAATTTGTTCAAAAAGTCAAAATAAAAATGAAGATCTTGAAGTGATAGTAGCCAAAACGAAGTCTTGAACATTCTTGGTAACATTTGACAGAGCTCTCATTCAACAACAAGTTGTTTCAGTCACACAGTACATGTTGTTACAGTACCCAAAACATACCAAGTACCTGAAAATACACCTTCACATGTTCATTACCTATAGTAAAATCATACCTTTATTCACAATACCCATTAATCACAGGCTGAATCAATTCAAGAAGAGGAAAGCAGAGCTGCACAAACAATGAGATCCAAAAATTAAACCTAATGCAGACCTATGAGTTACTTTCTCTTTCTGATCGGTTGTTACTTTCCTTTTTAATCAAATTTTTACATTCTTGACTCTGATTTTCTCATGACTTCTCTTACTACAATCTTCCAGGTTTGTGTTTTTGTTCTCTCAGCTTGAGGGTCATCTGACACACAAGTTGTTTCACAAAATAAATTCAGGCTTTCTCTATTCATTTAAAATGACATTTTCTAGTGCATTCAGATGATGAAAGAGATAAGTATCAATCTTCCCTTTTTAACGAGCAAATCCTCCTAGGTCTTGTTTTCCAGAACATGTGTATTTCAATTTCTTATATTTAACTCCATGTCCAATTTCGAACACCAAAGAAGTGGAAAAGTTACAGAGCGCAGGCAATTGGGACTTGAGTACATACTGAGATCTAGAAAAGTCAACCTGTTTTGTTCCAATTAAACAAAATTCTGACGGAAGAACCAAAGGTTTTTAATGGAGGACTTCCTGTCGGGTCTGGGACCCTTGCAGAAGTCAATCTAGACCCAAAAACTCTTAATTCTCACTAGGGTTGATGGCGCCACCTTTTCAAGAGGTGCGCGCCTAGGGCGCGCCTGTCAAACTGCCAGAGCATGGCGGTGCCCCGGCAAGAATCCACCTCAAAAAGCTCAAAAAACAAGTTCAAAGTTTTTTTTTTTGTAGAGGCAAGACCTCTGCTACAATGCATAGTGCTTGTGTCAGAGCCCATAACTGCATAATTCCAAGTGGTGAGAGACTGAGATCGGAAATTTCAAATCCATAAAGAATTGAATCCGGTGTGATCCGGTTGGATCCGGTCCAAGATATCTCAGGGGTCCTTCAAAAGTAGGGTTAAAAGTCAGGTGCGCGCCGACCCCCATTTTCAGGATCTTCAGGGACCCGGGTGCGCGCATGGGGGGCGGGCGCACTTTGGTGCGCCCCACCCTATGGCGCTGTCAACCCTAATTCTTGCAGAGAGATTTGACTTTCGCGGCTCTAAACCAACTCTGGGAGACCCGCAGATGTTGACGGGAAGTCCTCCAATTAAGTTTATTTTTGAATACTAGGGTTTAGGGGCGGCTGCGCTGCCTTGTTCTCCACCAAGGTGACCAATTGTTTTTGTTTAAAGTTCTCCCCAAAAAACCTTTCTCAACCCATTGTAGTCGATGACCCCCCCCCCGAGTCCTCTCCCTGCGTTACAGTCCACCCTTTTCCCCCTAAACAGTTTCTATGCCCTTGCATTGTTTATAGACCCTTTCTCTTCCATCAACGGTCGATGGGGGCTCTCTTGAATTGTATGCATTGGTAAAATTGCAATCCTCTTTGTGCAATTACTCGAGTCTCGCCGCCGGTTTAAGAATGTCTCACTGTAAGGTTATGTCTTAAGACAGAAGAGATGATTAAAAAAAATTCCTTTCTCAGGTTGAATAGGCAAGAGGTAAAAACATAAGAGTGAGAGGTGATTGCAAAATTAACATTGAAGCTACACGGCGACCTGGCCTCCTTCCTCAATTCGAAGCCATAATGACCTCTCCTTATAGTATTTGGCTTAATAGTGAGGATCTAGCTACTTTTCCCAATACTGAAACCCTATGGGTCTCCTTTGTAGGCTCCCTTATTATCATTGGGGGGGCCAAAACTTGTTTTTGCCCGGCACGTCCTCTTTCACCAAAACCCCTCCCCCCAGTTGTATCACTATTCCGCCATTGGACCTGTAATTTCCGGAACTGGCAAAAAATTTTGCCTCCATTGTTGCCTTGATAATAGATGCATGTATAGGCCATGGTTGGAAAGGAGGGTGGGTTGAAAGGAGAACAGCAAGCAATTGAGGGGATATTTATGCATAAGGACGTGGACATTGGTCAAAAATGGGTAGCATGGGGGAAATAGGTAAATTTGATGGCAAATTTGAATGGGGAGGAATGAATTTACGGTTCAGGAAGGTTGTCCTTAACTTCGCGTTGCTGAGTGAGGAATCGGTGGGGGATGTGATGCCCTTGGTCAAAGCTCTCTGTACTCACCGTTGGTTTGGGTAAGTAATTTCATTCTGGTCTTGGTAAATTTCTGGGAGATGTTTGAATTGAACAACATTTCTTAAATTGGAACGGGTAGGGAGTTGTATTTCCTTTTGAAGGTAAAAAAGTGAAAAGCTTTGCGGATAGGTATC